GCACAAGACGTTGCGGCAATGGATTTCCTTTAGAATATCTTCCCGGATAACCTACTGGGGCTTTTGCAGAACCTTTCGGAAACAAAAATCCCGGAAGACGTTACTCGTATTTTACGAGTAGTGGAAAAGAATTAAAACGGGCAAACCCTTCCGGTCACATGAACCGTCTGACGAGCGCTTTCTCACTAAATCGGGAAAGTCAAAACCGTTCACTCGCCTAAAAAACGTTAGACGTGAAGTGAGTATTCGCGAACGTACGAGTACAATATATCCGGACCGTTTTACAAGAGGATAAGAGTTTTTGCCTCACAATGTCATAACCATAATTATATATTTCTTGTGATATTGCTTCATTGACGGGTACCATAGTGAATTCGTGGAAATATGTTGTTCGCCGTGTCTGCTACCCTGGAAAAGTCTCAAGAGTAGCGTTATGCACTTCAGAATTCATTGGAAGACAAAAGAAGTGCGCCACCACGACAAAGAATGGCAGGAGCTTCCTTCAGCTTTCACCTGGGCTTAGATGCCTTTACATGGGCGGATTGGGCTAACCGCAGCCTGTTCGCAGAATTGTTTCTTCAAACAACATTTGACGATCTGTTCAAGATTACTAATCTTTACAACAATTACGAGCAAAGCAGACGCATAGCTGATCTGCATATCCGATATACGAGGACATTTGGGTGCTGTGAACATACCCTGCACGATTAGGCTGCGATGAACAGCCGGCTAAATTTATAGCCGTTTGCATTCAGACTGTGATATCAGTAGCGTTGCGAGCTACGGCTAACCAGCTGTTCATCGCAGCCTAATCGTGCAGGGTATGTTCACAGCACCCAAATGTCCTCGTATCCTCCCACAAAATGCTTTTGACCGAACTGGATTCTGTGGACGAAAAGAGGAGCTAGACATCACTCAAAAGTTAAAAGTATTTCGATGAACAGGAACTTCATCAGTAGTGCGCATCGCATCGATTTGAGCAGGATCTGTGTGCGTTTCTTGGATGATTAATATTAGTATGGCCCGAAGCAGACTTAGTGGTAATCCCATTCTGCCAATCAACCAAGAAAATTGTGCATCTAACGTTGGCAGGGGTATGGTGCAATGACATGGCAACAGTGGTTGCCATTGTGGCTGTCAGATGTGATACGACATTTAGTCTGCGTTTGACCAGCTCCCTGGCTGCTAATAAACTCTACGCCAGGTCGTGCAGATGTAGATGCTCAGTAACGGTAGGCATTTTGTCATCCCTATTGATACGTTGTTCCCGCGGCCGCAATTTTTTCCGCTTCAATAACACACACTTTAGTTTATGGTTGTACTTTCTTTTTCTAATTGCTTATCATTTCGACAGTCTCGGTAACAGCTTTGCTACACCCTGGAAAGAGTTTCTGAACAAGTCGAAACACCTTGACCAGGACGCTAACAAAAAGTATTGCGATCGCATAAATCGTGGGAGAAACCCATAGAGGTTAATGCAAAGTAAAGCCACGAATGTGCGCCAGTGGTGGCTGGACGACGACAAACAAATTTAAATGATTTTAAATGAAATTGATTTTACGACTTATGCACTTGAGGTAATCACTGGTGCACTTGGTAAACTGCTTAATAAAGGTAAGCACCATTGCTTACTGCACAAGCAAGCACCGTTAGTGAATGGTCCACAAAACGGTAGACAAACAGGCAATATTAGTGCATGAAGCAAAAATTCCTGTCCCTCCTGCAAAGTACTCGTACGAAACGGTGTTACCGCAAAAAGACGACGACAGATAAGTAATGCTCTTGAGGTTCATGAAGCGAAAAACAAGCGGTGCATGTATCAATGGTTCACCTTCATGCACCATTGGTACCGATCTTTGCTGGTGCCGCAGCAGGATCTCTGACTCGGGATCCAAAAAAAAGATACTAAACGCATTCAAATAAAGGTCATTGCTAATTTGCTATGCGCCCCTATCGGGGCACGAAGCAAATTGGCTATGCTTCTGAGTCGGTTTTGACACGAAATAACGTGGCTGTACGCCCGAATTTTCGGCTTTTGTGAGTACTACTCGTAATGACCCGTAGCACTCGCTTTAAAGGTCACCTAATATTTTCTTAGAGGGAACAGAAAATGCAGTTTAAAAAAGTTCACGAAATTTAGAAACATACATGGAAGCAGACATAGCAGAACATACCAATTATTCAATAGCAAGAGGACAGGCGTATTAAGATCCTCGGACCAGTTCTATATCTCTCACTGATAATCTGAGCTTACCTATGATTACTGCGAAATGAGAATGCGTGCAGTATGGTTAACCAAGGCGCCATCGAAAGGACTCTTTGGCGACGCTGCGGCTCAACCAGTGAACTTTAAAACTGGGATGCAGTGTTACTATTGTCGTTAAGCTGGTTCGGGTCCAGTCAAGTGCTTGGTTAAAGTTCGTTTAGCTGCCTAAGAATGTTGAAAAGCCATCTTCCTATACTTGCAACGCAATAAATTCGACTGGAAAGTATTTTTCGCTCCACAGAAAACTGAGAGCGCCCAGCCATTTCGTAAAACAAAATAATTTCGGCTAACATTCACTGCGGGCAGAAGAAGTTGAGAACGTATGGATTTCGCTGTCACGTAAAAATTCACGCCCATCTGGCATTGGGCTGTCTAAGTGAAGTAGTTTCTGTTTTTCACCGATACTCAGCGCTGCCAGAGAAAGTTTCGCTGTGGCAAAAATCATTATCTGATCGCGACGGAAAAAGTTTTTCACCGCGGCTAAACTTGGCTCAATTCCTCTACCGGAAACTACTGATGCCACAACCCACTGGGATACATTACCAGCCCGTCTCGCGAACCAACCGAGCAATGGTAACCTTATCACCGATACAGCACATTCCTACTTATCAGTAAAGACCGTTTTTATGTCCCCTCCGTCAACGTTTCTGAAGCTCTGGAGCTGTGGAAAGCCAACACGCGTCTCACCGATCTTCCAGAATCCAGTTTTCGAAAGACACAACGGACCTAGGATTTACCGCTCTGTAACGCATCGCTGTCTACGCTTCTGGATGTTTTTCGTGATGATGAAGCAAACAGGGCTCGACTCCTGGCTTAATCAACGCCAGAAGCCGGCTTATGGTTAAACGCATTGCCCTCGGTGCACATCGGTAATCTTTTGGATGACGACAAAGTTATCCAAAGATTACCGATTAAAATATCAATTGGACTAAGGTTGGGCGTAACTATTTGCGAGCCCCACCTCTGTGCTAAGTGCCACAAGCCTGTTGACGTATATGGACACCACGGCCTATCGTGCCCGTTTTCCGCCGGGAGACACCCACTGCGGGTAGAACAGTATCGTTTGCAGATCCCTAGTGTCGGCCGGCATCCCTGCCAAACTGGAACCCCGAGGAACATCCCACACGTCGGAACGTCGCCCCGACGGGTGCACCACGTTCGCATGGAATCGTGGCATGTGTTTAGCATGGGACGTGACCTGTGTGGCCACGGTAGCTAAATCCCATCTTAAGTTCACATCGGTAACCGCGGGATCTGCAGCCGAAGAGGCGGAAAACAAGAAACGCCGGCTGTACTCGTACCTGGAAGGACGATATGACTTCGCAGCATTAGCCTTTGAAACACACGGACCATGGTGCAAGTCATCCATCAGCATAGTAAAAGAAATCGGTAAGCGGCTCGCACAACAGACGGGTGAATCTCGCTCTCACGGGTTTCTTCGTCAACGCTTGCCCTTGGAAATCCAACGGGGCAACGCCGCTTCCGTACTCGGTACCATGGAAGGAGCGGCAGCGTTAAATGAACTGTTTTTGTTGTAATAAGTTCTGCGTTTGATTCTCAATTGTATCCGTGTTTTGTGAAATAAAAAAAACAACCACATAAGATTTTGTTTACATAGTAGTTCTGTAAATGCATTTAGACATGCGGGCGATTCGGTGTCATATTAAATAATCATGTGGACGAACCCGCATGATGTGGTGGGATTGAACAGGAAACCTGCGAAAAGTGAGCCACAAAATTTCTTCGCCAGCGGATCAGCTGATAGAAATCCAACGAGGCAATGCGGCATCTACTGTATCCTGGGAACGGCATCGAATAGGGGCAATTTAGATCAGTTTAATGTTCTCTGTGATTAGAACGCCTGGGTTAGCTGAAATTGAATACTAACTGTTGTTTTCTTTATACTATGTAAGAAATGTACTCATACGATTAAGAAATAAAATCTGCACGAAAACTTTGCATTAATAACGCTCGCATCTAGATGTGTTGTACTGATCGCTGTAACTGCGTTTTGCTTAGCAACTGTACAACCAATCGGCTCTCACCAGTCAGTGTTAATAATGCTTACTTACCGATTCAGTAGAAATCGCCAGGTTGACACCGTAGTCGTACATTAAGTAAACGCGCTTATTTGTAAGTACGTAGTGTACAAGAACTCATCATTTTGCTTTAAAAAGATTAAACTGGTTAAAAATATTTTATCTGCTTCAAACAGCCCAGTTTTCTCAGTCGTAGAATTACTGTAGTCGAAAAAATGATAGCCGGAAAACACGTAACCATTTGTCAATATCAAAACAAAAGACAGTAATGCTGAAGCCGCTTGCGCAGTTCCAGTTGGGGATATAGGATTCCCGCTGATCCTTAAGCATCTGGCGTTCTTTGCGTAAGTATTTATCTAAGGATCCGTACACGCACAGCTCTGTAATCAGGCGTAATTCTCCTGAAAGATATAGCAGCACGGACTATGAGTTAATTCTTCTGGAAAAGGAAACTGTTCGAAACAGCCAAATCGAGTTGTACCATCGGTAGTTATCCGCATTAAAGCAATCACATTGGGGTGTGTACTGGCCTTCGCGAGCATTTTGATTTCATCCAGAAGCTGCCGCTCATTCGTTTTTGTAACAAGCAGCATTCGCTTTACCGCCACATCGACTGATATCACCTGCTGAGTGCTAGATTCGGGTGCCGGGTTGTTGCCAGCACGTCGTTGACGAAGTACTCCTTTGAGGACCAAGCCATAATTACCTTGCCCTAGTACTGTTGGCTCTGTACAGATCGTAAAAGAATTACATATTTCTGAGTTGCTACCCGTCTAACTGTTAAATTAAGTACCTAGCTTCAGGTAGCAGTTTTTAATTTTGTATTGGTCATATTCGGGTCCGAGTTCCTTGTGGATCTCTTTAGTTGTAGTCTGTTGACGTACATCCTCTTTCTCTAAAAAAAGCATTCATAAGACCGAAAGGTATAACTTCCGTTCCGAATACTTACCTTCTTTACACGCTTTGCCCACACAGATACTATCACGCTGAAAGTGCCGAGAAGAATTAATGCTGTTACAATAATTGCACCAAGTTTCCAGTTGTCGATTGAACCTGCAAAGTAAGCAGGCATTTTTTAACTGCAGCCAAACATAATTTTAAACGCTGTTTAAAAACCTGTAATGCAGTGACACTTCAGAGTTTGGACGAGATGCGAAAAATTTGCTACAACATAGTCGCTGATGGTTTCATTAACAAAGTACACGTCTGTGCTCTCATCACTTCCATGCTCCACAACGCAATGGTTGCGTAAAAGAACAGAACCGATCATCGGCATCGATTGCGAATGGATTAGTGATCTGAGTTCGCTGTCAGTATTTTCGTCCAGGAGGTTCATTGCAATGCCGGTGAAATTAGTTTGCGAAAACACTGTGGCGCAGGCATAGAACGGTTCTGCGGTTACGGTAAATCCGCGTGTGGCGCTGTTTAGCAGCGACCGAAAAGAGAGTTTCTGCAATAAAATTTGGAAATGCCTATTCTCACCACCTTGATATCATCTTTGACTATTGTCACTAGACTCACCCACGTTTTTACTATTCGCACCACATTTTTTGAAATATTTTCTTGCACCACGATAGACTGTCAGTCCAAAACATCACCGTATGACACTTAATTTATTTTCTTCACTATTGCCACCTTTTTAAGTATATATATCTTATAGTGCTACAGAAATTTTCAGTGATCTGGTTCAAATCTGCAGTTGTAGAGCGAGTATAACCCCTGTCTTGCAACATAAGCTAGTTAAAGACAGTGAAGGGGGACTTTGTAGCGCCCACAGTTTACTATGGGATTTTACGAAGTCAAACCAAATTCAACAGTGCAAAAATGCTCATCGTACGAATACCACAGGCGCTTTGGTAGTAAAAGTTGCGCAAACTGCAAACGACATGGCATCAGCTTTTGAGAGTATCAAAATTAATTTTACAAAATGTAACTGGAATAGCCTAAGGTGAGATACGTAATGAGAATAACAAAAACGTGGTTCCAGATGGCGGAAGTAGCGGCGCCCATAAAATGTTTTTCAGACTGATAAAATTATTGAATATTAAATGAGCTGATTTGCTATTTCGTTCTGGATGCCTGTACACATAATGTGGTCGCTCTGAAGGAGGAATGTATGGTGCAAATGAAGATGTATCCTTCGGTTATTTTCGGTGCTGTTGAGACAAATGCGATCGTGACGCAGGAGAAACTGACCAGCATCATAGGCGAGTGCGCTTTCGATGACTTCACTGCCTGCACCATTTCCGGCAAGAATTATCGAAACCAAGTTGCATGCTATGTCACTGTTAACAGCATTTGCAAAAATGTGAGCTCCTTACTTTGCTCTTGGATTTCCAAATAGTCATCTTCGCAGCTGGTGTATATTCTTCGGTCATTATACGTCTGCGACTCTGTAACCATCTGAAAAACCAGAGTAACACGCGTAGTACACGTCCAAAGGTTCTTATAATTATATGTACAAAGGTTTTTATAGATGCTTCGCTGGATTTCGTGCCATTCGATCGATTTGTTCTGAGGTACCTCTTGGATTCGCAGCAGTGTTTGAGGTCCTCGCACAGCAAACAAGTGCCAAACGCACAATGTTTCCTGTGTGTTGTTTTTCCGGTAATGTATCGTGACTGGCTCCCTTATAATCGTTACATTCCAGCCGCAAGGGGCTTAGTAATGACAAAAGCAGTGGTCCACATAAAGGTCACACACATTTCGTTACGAAACTATCCAAATACCTGATGGACTGGATTCTATAGCTATAATCAAAAGATTATCGAGATACACTAACACAGTATTTTCGAGTTCTTAAAAGAAAGATTACCCTTAACTGTGATATTAAAACCCTGGGAGACTTCTTCGTCGCCGTTTGTCACAAAGGTTGCAAACTGCTGAGACAAATACGTGTCTGCGTTAACGGTGGTTCAATTATAAATCAAACCAAACTAAACCGTTTTTACTTACAAGTTTATTTGTGCGCGGAAAAAGCACTCCATTTGGACCTTTAATGCCCGTAAACTGCGTTCCTGGAGATAATCTCTTCGCTTGTAAAGAAACGGGTACAGGACGGTCTAAATAAATAAAGCTGTCTAACCATAAGGAAGCAAAGCCGCCAGCTTTCGGTAAAGTGGGCCACTAGGTAGGCATCACTGCACTGAACATACAAAATTCCGTTCTTTCAACTTTCATTTCATACCTGTTGACAAATATAGGTAATCAACCGATGCGTTATAGCCGTACACGACCGTTTTCATTTGCTCCTGAACATAAAAGGCGGCTGCTCCCGTTCTAAACTGATTTCGAATAAGGACAATTACGAGTATAAGCATTACTACTACTACGACTTCGCTCGTAAATTGGTCAAACTTACTGAACAGGTCAGTACTGTCATGGGTAGTGCTACCTATATCCTATAATCTACAATATGGGGAAACATGGGGTGTCCCTAAATAATAGCGTTTATTCATAAAAGGAAATAGCAGCATGGTCAGCGCTGTGAGTAGCATAATGGCTCACCTGCCTGTCGGGCACGTAACGATTCCACTGGCTTTCTCTGGCTAGCGGAAGCGTAGTTGAGTGGAGTTCATACGGGGAAGGGTTGGCAAAACCCTTAGAATAGTCTGGGATATGGTGTGGAATGGGCCGATTCGCACAGCCCTGTTTGGGGACCACAGAGGCCATTGACTCCAGGGAAACGGCATCGGGATAATGGTTGGTTGCTTCCTGTGTCCATCCACAAGCAGAATAACCAGCATATGCGGCCGAATGCCACTGCTTTACGTCAGGAACCGACGGAAACCCTGTCGGCAACGGCGACCCAAATTCGGCTGGGGCAGAACCGCAGCCACCGCCAGGTTGGTACATTGTTCTAACCAGGAGCGCCATTTGTCATGGGTAGTGCTACCTATATCCTATAATCTACAATATGGGGAAACATGGGGTGTCCCTAAATAATAGCGTTTATTCATAAAAGGAAATAAATGGGAGAAAAATACATAAAATGGATAAATCAAGATCAGAGACACTCCGATAATCCAGACCAAAATCCATTAACAAAGGGCACTTCCATAGCTAATCGTCATCATGGGCGGTTACAGAATACACCGTGACAGTACTTTGATCACCCACGTATTATGATTTTTCAATACCACTGAGATTTTAAAAAGTAAGTTTTTCTCCCTTCCACGTACTCACCTTTTTTCTCTTTGCCAAGACAGTACTGCATATGCTATGATAATCACCATTCTTATTACCATTACTTGTATGACAAGTAATAACCAACATGATCACCAGTCGAACAAACTTCACAGAAACCTCGGAATATCGCTTATGTTTACCTTACGTCGGACTTTCAGTTTTTTCATTATCACTTAAAATGCATTATGAAAATTAAAGGTGTAAGTTGGAAACTTGCAACACACTGTATCGGATAACAGAACATGTAATACACCGCATGAGAGGCTGGTGATCAATGTACTGAACCCGTACACTAACAGTAGTAGGTTTAACCAATCTACGAGCGAAGTCGTAGTACGGTATAACAGAACAGAAATCGTACCTACAAGAAACCGGTGATTATTATTTATTAATATGATCATCACTTGCCAGAAATTCATATCCATCCGGAGCGTTTAATCTCCACTCACAGCGTACAATGGGATCGAAATATGCCAGATATCGCGGTGTTAGCAGTAACCATTGTGAATCAGGCGCCAGATGAATTTCTCCACCACAGGTTTCTGATAAGTTACCATTACAATTATACGAGCACTTCGTAAGCATATTTCATTATCATTACTTTCGAACATTCTTTTTGGCGAAACTGATGACTAACCGGGTATTCTCTTAGGGGCAATGACGCTAAAGCAAAACCTGGGATTCGCAAATATTACATCCAGCACCAGAGTTACCGCTAACGCAAGGTACATTATGGTCCAGCGAGGCAGAAGGTTTTTTGGTCACGTAGCGTTTTCTCTGTGAGACAGCGCTTTGGATATATGTTATTATGTGCAGCAAAATATTATGCAAAATATTATTATATTATGTATAAATATTATTATTATATTAAATTATGCAGCAAAAAAAATTATGCTGACGCAAAAATGAAAACAAATCAAAAATATTTCTGGTACAAATGTTATGAACTCATAATTTGGCTTTCTTGGTACTGTATTTATGAACATGAACATGTCACATCCTTACAGTTGCCGATTGACTAAAAATCGCTGCTGATAACCGGCATGCGGTGGCTTTGTGACATCACTTTGAGTTTGCTCTTTTATCTAATCACTGATTTCAAGAACGTACAGTAGAAGTGCAGATGCGATACAGCATTTTGTCCATGGTTGTTACATATAGTAGAAGTAAAATTCTGGAGCATGCTACATGTAGCCGGGTTCAGTTCTTGAAGGGCATGTTATGACTTGGCATGATAAGCCAACCCTCTACATATCTTGAACAAGCTGTGTGATGATAGGCTGATAGCTACAGATTCGAAATTCCTTACAATTAGATAAAAACTTTCCTAGATCATACGTGACGTGGCAGCACCAAAACCACTTGATGATAATAGCGCGGTGCTCAGCCAGTGCTTAATATTACATAGAGCTAAGTAATTATTTGATTAAATCGGTTTGTATCGCATTTTCTGGTCTCTGCTATGCAACGCAATGTACATAACAAAAAGAAGTTGGTAAGGCGCGACCGCGGACCAAGGTTCGTATTATCTTATCATTCGTGGATCGCAGTGTGGCTGAGTGTGCTGCAGTATTGTGAGTGCTGTACTCGGATAATCATGAGCGGTGACCCACCATCTCGTCGACGGAAATCGACGTCTGCGGTTTTTTTAGCTGTCGCCTCTGTGACAGTCGGCGTATTTGCGGTCGACATCGGGTCGATCCCGGAAATGTTAGTTAATGAAATGTCAGTGAGCCGTACTGAGCGAGTGAGCGAACGAGTGCCGTATATTCTATCTATAATGTGGCTGCACAATCGGCTAACCGTCCAACCTTTGCGTGCTTCTTACATTCGGCTATTGGCAGGTGGCAAAGAATTGAGCATACCGGTAGTGCAAAGTGACCCCAAATTAAAAAAAATCCTAGTGTTCTATTATATCGTAATGCGGGTAAGTGCACGGCTATTATTGATAACATCTGGTGTATTTGCCACTTGCATACTCGGAAATGTAAAAACACCATCGTGTTTACTTGAGCAGTTTTAACGTTCTGAATCACACGGTTTCCACTTTCAGCAGACACCAAAACATCAGTTTTTAGAGCTGCCGAATGCGGAATCCATAGTGGCACAGCTATTTATAAAAAAGAATTAGTATTGTAGAGCATGCAGAATACCGCGAATATTACTACCCCGGCAATGAACTCCCGTCCACGGTTATCTTCCAACAAGAAAGGAACACTAAGACCAGGCCGGTGATGCTGCTCACGAGCAGGTAGATGCGATCAGCGGCGTAACGAGCTCAAAGGTTTGGGGTGGGCCACAAGTACTGGCTTTGGGGTAGGCCGTTCCCATAGACTCTATGCTATAACTTTTCGTTTGGGGTGGGCCGTGGCCCCCAAATTATTAGGCTCGTTACGCCACTGGATGCGATGCATTTGCTGAACATTCGCTATAATCCCTTCTCGTGTCGTGCCATGCGCGTACATCCTCGGGTGGCTGGCACAAGGACATTGATTGTGGATGACATTATCGCACAAGGGCGGAAGTGGCCGAGTACAGCCTCGGGCCTTCCCTTGCCGTCGGAGACTGAGCCGTCAAGTAGTGGCGAGCTCGGGCTCGGGCTTTTCTGAACAACTTCCGTAGAACGGAATGGTCTGGACAGGTACGGGAAGATATTTTCGGCACCGAGGCGTTTACGATGTTAATGGCAGAACTAACCGCTAGGACTAATCGGCCAACTGGATTCGGGCGTGGTAAACGGACCAGGAAACGATAAATGTATGCAGTTTCTTGGGGGGACAAGATCGATTGCGTAATTCCCAGGAGCCAGTAGAAATGCTGATACGAATCAAACTAACTAGGGATATTTTATGAGATTTGCTGCGTCCGCTTGTCATGGGCAGTACACACTGAGAAATTCAAGATAATCTGGACTTTCCTACGTTAAATGAAAGAGTCTTGGTAATCGAAACAATTTACAGTAAGAACTTACGCTCAAGTTGCCAAGAGAAGCTTTATCATAAATGCAACTAGTACTACCATTAACACAAAACTTCGACTGCGAAAATGTTAGAGTATAGCTGCCTTTTCTACCGCTATCCTTATACTCATTCGCATTACTCAGTACTCCTGGGACAGGATCGCACCGTCTGGCCGCTACAGCGCTTGAAAAAAGGCAAGATTTAATAGATGATCTCTCTGTTGCAGCAATACGGTAACGGTACAGAAACTCAAGGACCAACGCATCCTTGAGTTTTTGCGGTGTGCATATATTTAGTGCATTCACATTTGATTCATTATCTTCCTCTAAACGTTTCGTCAAGATTAATGTGTTTAGCACAAATATAGGTAACATTGTAGTACACTTACCTACAAGTAACTGCGCTAAAGTTATCTTGTAACTGATAAGATTATTAATTGTACTCGTACTGTAAAATAAACGGGTAGCAATCACTCTAAGGTAGTGAACGAGCATCACATTCTCGTAAACAATAACAGCCATCATTACTATTGGAAACCGTTTTTGTCGTTTCCGGAATGTTGACCACAAGGCTCCCGCTCTGAGCAGAACCAAAACTGCCATTAGCGACAGTTTTCGGAGCTGCCGAATGCGGAATCCTTGGCGGAGCAGTTATTCGTGAAAATGTCATTCCAATTCGTTCGTACCATAATGACAACGTGCAGTCGTGCATTATTCGCTAGTTAAAGCATCTTAACAATTTGACAAAAACAAGCACAAGTGTTTATTTTGTGGGTGACGTGGTTCGAGTAATGTGCTGTAAATTGCACAAAGCATGCACTTATGCGTAGTGCTGCAGCATATCTGTAACCTTGACAAGCATGGGAGGCCATGAAGGCCGACCAAAATAAACAGTGCGCTGGGGCCCAGCGCACTCTTTATAGGGAAGTACGTCGGCCAGTTCGTAACGGCTCCCGATTCCTACCGGCTGACCATCGCCGTCAACTCGCACATTTCCGGTCGGCTGCAAAGCAACATTAACGGCAACGCATCAGCGAATAGAGCTTCCGAAGTCTTCTCCTCCAACACGTTGACCATCACCGTCAGTGGAGCGGCCGATCGTCGGCCGGCGCGGGTGAATTGTTGGCCCACGGATCTCCGCAGCGACGAGTGGTTCGTCCAGCAGCATTCGTCAGTTTTCCATGATCAGTAACAACAGTAGATTTGCAGAACAGAAGTGTTTCTCGGCTTTATCCTGTAAGCTCTTCCTGTTATTTTTCTGACAGACTGCATGTATTCGTATAAGTGCTTGATTTTCCTAATGTTTTATATCTTTACAATGTCATGTCAACATATTCGAAATATCTAGTAAATTATGGCGGATAATAAATCTAGTTAAAAATCAAATATACTTACCAAAGAATTCATGGAAAAAAGGAAAAATTACGCAAATAAAAATAATTTTTAACCAGCGACTTCCCGGTACCTGCTCTCGTTCGACCTAGACCACGAAAACTAGGAATTGTCGACAAGCAAACCTTCAATCGAGGAACCACTTTCTTTTCGGAATGTCGCCAACTTGCTACAGCCATAGGTCAGATACAGCTACAGATGGCAGGGCTTTTTGTACCATCATATTATGTGTTTTATACACCACAAACTAAGACCGGCATTAAAAAATTAGACCATTCACCATTAGACAGGAAAAATGTTGTTTAGATAGGTGTAGGTTTATAAGTGAACGGGATTTTTAATTAGGTATAAGACGTCTGAAATGTGCATAGCTGCATGTGTGCACACAAGCGCCAACTTTAGCTGTCCAGTGCAGATTAACATTAGAAAGGAGAAATGCTGTTTAGATAGGTGAAGGTTTATAAGTGAACGTTATTTTTAATTATTAAGCATAAGAGGTCTGGAATGTATACAGCTGCATAACCGGCATACTAACTAGGACAAGTTTGCAAAACCTTTTAGAAACAAAAGTCCCGGAAGAAGTTACTCGTGTTCTTCGAGTAATGGAAAGTTAAAATGGTCAAACCCTTCCGGTCACATGAAGCGTCTGGCGAGCGCTTTTGTAGTTAAATCTGGAAAGCTGGAACCAGCGACCGGTCCAAAAAACGTTAGACGTGGTGTATTCGGGGACGAATATTCGGACGGTTTTACAAGAGGATGAGAATTTCTGACTCACAATTTCGCCCGAACTGGATCCTGTGGACGACAAGAGGAGCAAATCATCACTCAGAAGTATTTCGATGAACTTCTTCAGTAGTATGGGAGCGCATCGAGCAGAGCAGGATCCGTTTGCGCTTCTGGATGCTTAATGTTAGTATGGCCCGAAGCAGACTTAATGGGAATCCCGTTCTGCCAATCAACTAAGGAATTTGCGCACCTAACGTTAGCAGTGGTACTCAGTACCGGTAGGAATTTTATCATCACTATTTACACGTTGTTCCCGC